TGGTGACGTACTTTTATCATTTTATGGCTACATTTAAGTATCTTGGGTACTTTTTGGCTTAGAATCATCAAACTTTGTCAGTTGATGCATCTTGGATTTTCGGATAATGTCGACCAAAAGGTAGGTCATGGTGACCTACTTTTATCATTTTATGGCTAGATTTCAGTATCTTGAGTACTTTTTGGCTTAGAATTGTTAAACTTTGTCAGTTGATGCATCTTGGGTTTTCTGATAATGTTGACCAAAAAGTAGGTCATGGTGACCTACGTTTATCATTTTATGGCTAGATTTCAGTATCTTGAGTACTTTTTGGCTTAGAATTGTTAAACTTTGTCAGTTGATGCATCTTGGGTTTTCTGATAATGTTGATGCATCTTGGGTTTTCTGATAATGTTGACCTACTTTTATCATTTTATGGCTACATTTAAGTATCTTGAGTACTTTTTGGCTTAGAATTGTCAAACTTTGTCAGTTGATGCATCTTGGATTTTCGGATAATGTTGACCAAGAAGTAGGTCATGGTGACATACTTTTATCATTTTATGGCTATATTTCAGTATCTTGAGTACTTTTTGGCTTAGAATTGTCAAACTTTGTCAGTTGATGCATCTTGGATTTTCAGATAATGTTGACCAAAAGGTAGGTCATGGTGACCTACTATTATCATTTTATGGCTATATCTGAGTGTTGGGTACTTTTTGGCTTAGAATCATCAAACTTTGTCAGTTGATGCATCTTGGGTTTTCGGATAATGCAGACCAAAACGTAGGTCATGGTGACCTACTTTTATCATTTTATGGCTACATTTAAGTATCTTGAGTACTTTTTGGCTTAGAATTGTCAAACTTTGTCAGTTGATGCATCTTGGATTTTCAGATAATGTTGACCAAAAGGTAGGTCATGGTAACCTACTATTATCATTTTATGGCTATATCTGAGTATTGGGTACTTTTTGGCTTAGAATTGTTAAACTTTGTCAGTTGATGCATCTTGGGTTTTTGGATAATGTTGACCAAAAAGTAGGTCGTGGTGACCTACTTTTATCATTTTATGGCTATATTTCAGTATCTTGAGTACTTTTTGGCTTAGAATTGTCAAACTTTGTCAGTTGATGCATCTTGGATTTTCGGATAAAGTCGACCAAAAGGTAGGTCATGGTGACCTATTTTTATCATTTTATGGCTATATTTGAGTATTTGGTACTTTTCTTGGCTTAGAATCGTCAAACTTTGTCAGTTGATGCATCTTGGGTTTTCGGATAATGCCGACCAAAAAGTAGGTCATGGTGACCTATTTTTATCATTTTATGGCTATATTTCAGTATCTTGAGTACCTTTTGGCTTAGAATTGTCAAACTTTTTCAGTTGATGCATCTTGGATTTTCGGATAATGTCGACCAAAAGGTAGGTCATGGTGACCTACTTTTATCATTTTATGGCTATATTTGAGTATTGGGTACTTTTTTGCTTAGAATCGTCAAACTTTGTCAGTTGATGCATCTTGGGTTTTCTGATAATGCCGACCAAAAAGTAGGTCATGGTGACCTTCTTTTATCATTTTATGGTTATATTTAAGTATCTTGGGTACCTTTTCGCTTAGAATTGTCAAACTTTGTCAGTTGATGCATCTTGGGTTTTTAGATAATGTTGACCAAAATGTAGGTCATGGTGACCTACTTTTATCATTTTATGGCTTTATTTAAGTATCTTGGGTACTTTTTGGCTTAGAATCATCAAACTTTGTCAGTTGATGCATCTTAGGTTTTCGGATAATGTCGACCAAAAAGTAGGTCATGATGACCTATTTTTATCATTTTATGGCTATTTTTACACATCTCTTGTACTTTTTGGCTTAGAATCTTCAAACTTTCTCAGTTGATGCATCTGGGGTAATAGGTTACTTAGAGTTAGAGGCTTCAAATAGAAATAATAGATTGTATAATTTACCAGAAGAGTGATACAAGGACCTTTGGCCTCTCGTATTTATTTTTACAACTAATAAGCAATGTTTTAATGAAATGATTATTATGAATTTCAAATAAGTATTTTCTTTAAATAATATGTATATGAATATTGTTTACGTAAAAAAATATTTGGATGCAACATCGGTCAGTAACATATGGGATTTATCCCATATTTGAATATTGATGGGAGTAAATGTCCCACATATCATGTTCTATGGGATTTATCCCATATTTGACAATGAATGGGAGAAAAAATCCCATTTGCCAGTGTTCGTGGGATTTATCCCATTTGAACAAATTTGTGGGAGAAAAAATCCTAATGGGAGAAAAAATCCCATCTGACATTTTTTCTCCCATGGGAGAATGGTGGGATAGTTGGTGGGACTGAAAATCCCACCATTCTCCCATGGGATTCTGACATTTAGGACTTCATATCTTTTAAAGTAGTGATGTTTATGAGTTCAACATGAGAATATGTGATACTGCAAAGAAATCCCACCAGGTGCTATAATTTTTTTTTGGACATGACAATTAGAAATGGTAGCAAAAAGTCCGGACTATGTCGTGTCCGGAGTTAAATGTCGCACTGTTTTATGCGATAGTAATGTGTCCGACCGTCTGTCTGTAAACAATCCTCCTACAGTTTAGTCCGATTTCAATGTAACTTGACATACAAGTATACTTTACTAAGGTTCATAATTCTATATATCGGTTTTTGATTTCGTTGAACGGTGTTGCCATGGTTACTAAAAATAGATGTTTTTGTAAAATACTTTAAAAATGCTACTCCAAATACATTTTAGTCTGATTATAGTATAATGTGTCATACAATTAAGTAGTCTACACTGGGATACATAATTGTCTTTATTTGTTTTATTATTATTATTTTGATGAATGATGTTGCCATGGAAACTAAAATTGAAAATTCTGTAAAACGTTATTAAAAGCTACTCATCAGGTTGTAGTCTTATTGCAGTCTTGTCACAGAAAGAGACTTTATCAAGGATAATTATTCTATTTATTACTGTTTTAAAGTTTCAAGTCCTAACTGCTACTTTTGTTTTAAGAACAAACCAGTAGATCTACAGTCTCGACATAGACTTCTGGTTTTATGTAAGAATGAGTAAAACTCCAAGGTCAAGAGGTCAATTTTGGTGTACTCAAAAAAAGGTCTTGCCACAAGGAATACACATGTGGAATATGAAATCCATAGACCCACCCATTCAAAAGTGATGGGCATGGTAATTTTTTGCGGAAAGACAGACGGGCTACATGGCAAAAACTATTATACCCCCGAATCTTCGATGAAGGGAGCATAACAATTCACAGATATAGCTTCATTAGCAAAAAAATGAAATTTTGTTGAAATTTAAAAGAAAAATACTGATTGAAACAAACAAATAGAAAAGGTGATCATTCATTTATACCTTATTAAAACACGTATATTTAACATTAAAATATTCAAGTACAATAAATCGGTTTGGTAAATATTGACTTGCCGGAGTCGATGCATAGTAATATCAAGCATATCAATGATGGAAGAGATAAAACAAGATAATGGCTTAATACTGTTTGTTAATCACATATTCAACTCATTCTAACACAACACAGACAAGAGACGCTTATTGTTCTACAAATAAAACTCCAGCCCTAAATGGCTGGTTGGAAACTTTAGGAAGTACACTTATTGATATCATATATACGATACAACGTATAGCTATCACCTCAACAGGATTTTATAAATGATCAGCACAGCCTAATAATAACAATTTCTTGTTTGAGGTTTGAAATAGTTCCCTTTATACTTTAACAGAAATATGAGCATTCTTATTGTTGTCAGCTAAAGACCATTTTTACCATGTAATGTCTGTCATATGACGATATATATAATGTTAAAAATAGAAATTAAGATCCCTAATACGTAATATGTTAATAATTATAGAAAGAATTGTACTATATGGTACTGTATACATGTATAATCTTTACTCATCGTACATATATCTGCATTGTTAAACATTTAATAATAGATATTTAAAGAATGGTAGAGTTCCTCATTGACAACAATTATATAGTCGTCTGATACCAAGAGAAGAAGTAAACATTTGCTGTGGCTTTCAACTCGACATTAAGATATACAGTGTATCGACAATGTATAACCAAAAAACAATAGTGACTTTCATTCATATGTCGATCAACTTGAATTTAATGAAATCACAGAGTCTGCCATATCTGTTACATATTTGGATGTTTTACTAACTACATGTATGGCCAACAAGGGCCAACAAACAAATAAACTGTATCACAAAAGAGATTTCATTTTTCTTATCAACTTCCTTATATATGTACTAAATACTCCACTATCTCTAGCATATTGTGTCGAGAACGATTTGCTTAAATTGAGGCAGGCTACTGACAGATACGTTGATGTTACAGGGATTAAACATAAGTATTTCGTTAATTGTATTACTGTTATAATGACTTCGTTAGCAACAATAACCTTTCAATGGGTTGTATTTTGGCTGACCTGTTTCATATTGATTTATTAGGGAATAATCCGTCTTTCTGGTCTGTATATAGGGCCCACGGCGGGAGTGACCGGTCAACAAGGGAATGCTTAATCCTCCTAGGCACATGATCCCACCTCTTGTTTTTCCAGGGGTCCGTGGTTATGCCTTCTTCACAGGTTTGTATAGTTGTTTAAATATTTTAATGCTGATTACTGTTCGTTTTCTTCATTTTTTCGTTTGTTCTGATCTTTACTTGAGCATGATGAATTCTTTAATTTAGGTTGCTTCTAAGACCCAGGGTAGTGAGCACTCTATAAGGCGACTGAGGGTTAAATATCACTTCCCTACATTTTTAATGAAGATTGTTACTTTTTTCGAAAAAGCTCTCACGGTTTAAAGTACTAATTACATATGTAGCGTGAATTTACCCAAAGTTTCAGTTCAGAGACAAAACGGTCTTAAAGATATGTATAATCAAATATTTTCCTAATTTAAAGACTAAAATGAATGGTAACTCAATTTATCTGAAAGACATTTTAATATCATTTAAGTATGTCATGGTCATCTAGGTTCTTCTCTATACATCAGGTACCCCAAATAAAACCATGGATTCCCGTTAATAACACGCCTTTGTCCCGGTATATACAATTGCACTTCCACTTCTATTGGGTATTTTTTCCGCTCTTGTGTCGTATACATTGCGTACAATATATGCTGCTCTACGTTCATTAATCCTTGGTTTAAATAGCGCATTACAGCCTTTTTATATTGGACATGGAACTTAATAATAACGTCGGGTGTTCCTAAGAAAAGTCCTCCGCCGATCCAATTCATATTTCCTAGAATTATCGTTCTTGCACTCGTCCTTTTTAAATCAGAAGAAAACACACGTGTCACTCCGATCCGAGATTTATTAAAATCGTCCGGAACCTCCATCCAGTACTTTCTTTCACGAAAAACATTATCCCTAAAATATCCCGCATCTAACCAGCAGTAAAAATCTGTATTAAACGGATGTCTAGTCACAGAATCCGCCAACACCTGCTGCTTGGAGTGGGTCAGACTTGTGTATTCCGGAATATACGTGTTCGGATAATGACGAGGGTATCCGGGAGTTTTGTATATTTTCCGGATTTTGGGAATTATTTTAAAGGCCCATAACTCTGACCGATTTATATGAATTACTTCTGTAAGTAAAGATGCGTTTTTCCTCAATTCTACGAAGAAGTCAGCATATGTTTTATTATCCGTGTAGAATACCACGGGATTCAGCATGTACTGAAACGTCCTCATCCAGACATTATAGTCATTAGACTTCCGTACCGTACCCAGATTTCCTTTAGGAAAACTTCCAATGTTAAAAAACGCGGTGACTACTGTGAGACTTCTGTTGGTGTCTCTAATCGAGTCAAAATATTCTTCTGTTTCATTCTGAAAAAAAATATATGAAGACTTTTAATTAGTATATTCATACAGAATTATGGAATAACCTATATAAATGCTGTTTTGTTTTGCCCTGATTTAGTTCAGCTAGCACGAACTTAAAAAATGCGTTATGGATAAAGTATTCATGTTTGAAAAAAAACCTTGATTCCTAGTGAAAAAAGAACAATTAGTTGATTACAAGGGGCGTTCAATATTTTTTGTGTCTAATGGTTTTCAATAAAAATGAGTTCAGTCAATTCGGGGTCTGGCCATCCATGAATGAATATATCTTTTATTGACATTGTGACAAAATTTTGAACGAGTCCGTGCACTCTGAAACACACACTTACATTTGCAACTGACCTACCCGAATACACTGGACATCAATTATGGGTAAAACACGAAGTATGGAGTCATTTGAAATAAGAAGGTATATTCTTGCTCGTTGTGCCATTGGTATAGAACGTAATGAAATATTTGAAAAAGAAAATTGTTCGGATATATGATGGATCTGTTATTTCAAAAAAGACAGTTTACGGATGGGTTAGCAAGTTTAAGAGTGGTAGAACACGTGTTTCCCGACGACAAACATTCAGGAAGACCACCAAGAGCAGTCACCAAAAGTAATGTTTCCAAATCCGTGATATTCTTAAGACAGATACGCGACTTACCTTCAAAGAAATAGCAAGAAGGGTAGGAATTTCAACGGGCAGTGTTTTTACTATTTTAAAAACTAAATTAAAGTACCGTAAAATTTTTGCGAGATGGATTCTACATATTCTTACCAAAGCTCAGAAGAGGAATTGTTTACAAAAGTGCCAAAAACTTTTGAAATTGTTTAAAGATAGGGACACTAGGAAGCATAGTCAGATTGCCACAGGTGACGAAACGTGGGTCCATTTTTTCCAGCCAGAAAGAAAAGTAAAAAATCAAGTTTGGATGGGAAAGAATATGAAGAGGCCAACAATTGCAAAAAGAACTCAAACTTCTAAGAAAGCTCTATACGCAGTATTTTTCAACTCAAATGGCTAATTAGTTATCCAATATGCAGTCCTACAGGGCAGAAGTGTCACTGGAAATATGTATTATTCAAAAATACTTCCGAGATTTTATAATTTTTACAAAAGAGACGACCAAATACCGGTTTAAGAGGCATTGAACTTCTGCATGACAACGCTCCTGCCGATAAAGCAAAAGTTACTCAAGACTATTTACATCACAAAGTTATACCGAACTTCCACATCCTGCATATTCACCTGATCTTTCTACTTGTGACTTTTTCTTGTTTCCAAAACTAAAGGAAGCTCTCTCTGAAAGGCGTTTTCAATCGCGGTAAGCGCTGGGGTCAGCTTTTTTCAGTATTTAAGGGGTATACCACAAAAAACTTACAAAAAGGTGTTTTTGACTGGATCAGACGACTTCATCTCTGTATTAAACATAAGGGAGATTACTTTGAAGGAATGCAATAAATAATTTAACATTTTATTTTGTTTTTGTTGGTGTAATTTGGTTTGGACAGAAAATAATGAACGGCCCTCGTAGATTACAGAAAAATCAAAACTGTTAAAAATCGGTGCTACGTGTAGACTATAAAAGGATTTGTATTTTATGACGATGCTACTTAAAAAAGATGCTCTTTGTAAAATTTAAAGATGCTCAGTTTTGTTTTGTTAAAGTGAGGAGACCTCAGATGTGCCTGACCTCTTCACACAATTTTATAGAATTTGTTGGGGATTTTTTTAATCAATCACAGTTCGTTATCTTCACCTTTGACATTACCTGAGAACACTTTACCTGAGAATGACCACGATTACTCAGCCTACCTTACCAGTTCAGATTTCTTACGTCTACTCAAAAGTCAAGCTCTTTTACAATGTTTGCAAATAAACATGCGTCCGATTTAAAGAGTCAATTAGGGTTATAAAGAGTTAAGCAGATGGAGGCGGGACTTTAGCAAACATCCACTAATTTACGATATTTACCGAAGAGACTACGCTATGTTGTGAAATAAACTGTAAACATAAGAGATGATTTCTCTATAAGTGCAAACTAAAAATCAATTCTTTTAACGTAAAAAAACCATTTTCTAGAGGATTTTTACTCCTTATATTAAACCATTTTTTTTTAATTTGAGCCTGATTATCCTGAGGCAGAAATTTCGGGCGTATTAATATGTTATTGAGCAGAGAGGGTCATTTATAAATGTACAGATGAAAATTGTATAGTCTTTATTTAGAAGTTATAAATCTTTCTTGATCTTGTTGTAGTCCTAAATTTGTTTTAAATTGTTTGATAGGATTATGACAAATATGTACATGTACATTGAATAAGTCTTTTTAAAAAATGCAATAAAACTGCTATATCAAAACAAAACTCTGTATGACTTCTCTATTTTTTTTATTTGAGCACTCAAAAGACCAGAAATTACAAGTAACAATTGGTTCACGGATAAATTTGTGCCACTTTTATTTTGAAGTCATATTCTGTATATAGTAAATTGTTGTTCCTATGCATAATTTTGAACATCTGCTGTGGTCATTCGTCAGGGGCATAGAAAAGAAGATGAAAAGGGGAAAAGTTTACACTCAACGGATAACAAGGATACGTACAGTAGACGGACAAACGATTCAATAAAATCTTCTGCTCAGGACCTCAGGTGAAATTAAAGTCATCTATCAATACATTTATTTTTCTGCATGTGGAAATAGGCGGGGGATAGGAATAGGTGGAAAACATCGTTGTTTGTCATAATTGTATAAAAGTAATTAACAGATGCTAATTTATGTCATTAGTATATCTACACAATTACATGTATACATTGTATTGGGCAACAGTTTTAACAGTTTCATAACTTTGCACATGTGATAGTTTGACACAATAAATCAGATACCAATATTTTGAATCCTGTCGAGATGTCTTAATGAGATTGCCGAAAAAAGGAAATTTCAAGGCAAAATGCATCTATTGTTTTACAAAAATAAATATAAGGAAGATGATGGGTTACATCAAATTCGGTAACACGTACGAAGGTACATGACATTGCATAAACTTGATTAAATGTGCTATTCAGTATTTTTTCTGCCACATCTGTCCCAATAAATAGAATCTTCAACATTTATGAATGTGGCAGGAAACCGGCCTGAAAGTCGTGAAAGATTGGTGGCTTAGAGTACAGAACTTCAAAATTTTGATAAACACGATTGTATAATTTAAGAAAAGAAACGAAACATTGTAACTAAACTGATATGTACAAGTATATACGTCAATTTACAGTGTTTTAAAAATAATTATACATTTCATTACTGGGAATTTGGAATTCCTGATTTAGTTTCAATATTCCCAAAAATTTAATATGTAGATAAATTAATTAAAATTTTAAGTTAATTTATTTTCAAAGCTCTTGTAATGAGAGTGGTATATTTTTTTTTTACATGTATTTATAGTACCATGGAGGACTAAACCTTCCCATAGTGTGTCACTTAAGCGTTTTGATCAGGAAAACTATTATTTTAATTAAATCATTCACTTTTTCTGTGTAAACTAATTTCCTGATACCTAAAAAATTATAATCGAAAACTTACGAAGAAAATTACATGTATCTGTAGTTACATATGCTATGATATCATCGACATGTTCCACGCTTTTGTTTATTATTTAAGTCTTTGTGTTCTTAAGGATATGCAGCTTAAAAATTGATGGTGATAAAAGAAGAACGTGTTTTAGTATGAATGAAGGGAAGGGATGAGAATAAGGCATAAATCATCTAGATTAAATAAAATTAATATTTACAATAATGATACATGCAATAATTGTCGACTATTACACTTCTTCAATGTCTATGTCATATTTATAATAAAATATTTTTTAAAAAGAAAAGAAATCTACCACAAGTTTGAGGTAATGACGGATGGCCTTGATCGGGGAAGACTGGAACACGGTTCTCTTGAGCTGATGGTTCTGACTTATATGAAAAACGGCAATAACGATCAATAGGAAACTCAAGGCAATAACCAGCAACACCTTCTTCATTGTACAACCAAACCTGTAAAATATAAAACTGTCACTAAAGTTTTCAAAAATGAATTATTATCTCCAGGAGGCCGGAAGTATAACACGGGGTTGAGGTAAAAATTGATGGTCGTTCACTATAAATCAGGGCTACAGAGCTGATACGGCCAACAGATGTGCGGGGATTTTGTTCTGATATTAAGGTATCAGTCAATCTATAGCATGATGATGTGAACTTCCCCGTGTAAATAAGGAAAGACCTTTGGAGCATAAACGTGTTCAAGGAATTGAGCTTTTTAGGCCATTGAGAATATCCGGTGCATAAAAACTCGACCTTTTGATCGGCATTCCTATTAGATTTAAAAATAAACGCATATACATGTAATATAGGCGGATTTTCAGATATCCAGTTTTATTAATACATATTGGAGGTGATATTGTCATTATACAGGACAGATACAGGATTTTCCAGGGGAGGGGTGAGGGGGCAAATAATTATTATATTATATGCATGAGAAACAACATCTACACTGTAAATAAAGTTCAAGCATTCAATACACTAAAAGCATATACACACAAGAAACGATAAATAAATCAATGAATCATTTTGAAAACACACAAACAAGAAAAACACAAATAAATAATTATAAAGATATATATTTTTATGTTGTTTTTTTAATTTCTGTTTTAAACTAGTTTACATATTAACATTATTATTTTTGGTCGAAACAATACTTGCTCATAGTTAGTCAGAGACTAAAGAGCTCACATAAACGAATGCTGTGTTACAACGCACTTTGAAAAATTACGCACTTTGAAAAATTTTTTCAAAGTGCGTTAAATTTGGGACCAAGCTATAATGCACTTTGAAAAAATTAATTTTTTTTCAAAGTGCGTTGATATCGACCATATTGACGCACTTTGAAAAAAAATGTAGATTGATCAATATTCTTACAAATAATCGGTTGATAAATAACAGATCCTGGATGGATAACTTTTTTATGATGAAGTCACTTCAGGTCCTGAGAAGTTGACGTTTTAAATATTTGAGGTTTTGATAAAATAAAAGGGAAAAGCGTCTGACTATTACACTTCTTCAAATGAAAAAAAAGAGTGACGATTGTTTAAGATCATTAATTCGTTTCTTTCTTTTCTTTAAATTCTAGTCTTTGATAAGTATATGTAAAGGTGTAAAGGGGGCACTAACAGTGGACAGCTTAAAGCAACTTAGCATTTATCATTACAAAAAGGGGGCAATTTGATTGTTCAAAACTATGAAAATTCTTTCTCTCTCATACGTTTTACTGTACTTCAATATTTCTAGTTTTCATCTGTTTTAATTAACTCATTTAATATTGAAAGCTTTCAACGTCATACCAGTTAGGTAAATACATACTTATATAAATGTTTTGAGTATAGCATAGACATCGAGACCGGGCAATGGGCTAGGGGAGGAGGGGCTTAGCAACCCCCACTTATTCTAAAAGATATATACATCGTATAAGCATTGAAAATGCAGCTTACACTTTTGGGGTTTATTGCTCCCCTCCCCCAGTATAAGAAAAAATGTTTTAAGATTTTGTAAAATGATATGGAAATTATAAAAGTTTATTTCAATTTTTTACAATATATTTGTTACCGACACCTATATATTCAAAAGATAAAGATTTGGACTGAGTGATCTTATACCCGTCTTCTCCTTTTTTCGACGTGAGTTAATCAATTCATAAGTTTTTTGAAAGATAAATAACAAATAAAATCTTTCCATTACTAAAATATGATTTAATTTTTTTTTTCAAAGTGCGTTAAGTGTCTCCATGGTAAAATATATTGATGTAGACTCTTAACGAACTTTGAAAATAATTTTCAAAGTGCGTTGAGTTGGTCCCAAATTTAACGCACTTTGAAAAAATCTTTCAAAGTGCGTTGATTTTGTCCCAATTTTAACGCACTTTCGAAGCAAGTCGAGTCGAGTCCATCCTTTGGTGTATCTAAATGATCCAAACAAGTTTGGTCAATGTTCAACAAATAGGTACTTAAGAATGAACCACGCGAGGGTATCACATACGCTTCCGACTTCGTTGAGGTAAGGTAAAAAGCATTTTAAAAATCCTATGCCCTATAAACAGATCTAAGGCTCTTGTAAGGCAATTTAAGACAAAGGCCTCGGCATATACATAAATGTGGTCGAGTTCATAAGAAAGAGAGAGAGGGCGAGAGAATTGTGCGTTGTGTAGTTTTATTAAACACTATGGAATCATCTGTCACAAGCTCTCATGCTGAGTTTAGCATGCTTTATAATAAGCTTTTGACCAGGCCCGGAGCTTGTCTTCCTGGATTGTCTTTTTATAAGGTTAACAATCATCCTTTTAGACACATGTAACGCTCTGTATTAGTGGGATGGGCTTTGCTTTGTGTAAATGGAAGGAAACAGCTGAGATAGAAATGTTTCTTTTAAGTTTTATTGATAATATTTAATATACTTATTTATTTATAGCCATGGATTTATTTGCTTAAATGTTATAAACTCTGTTGCAAAAGGTTTTTTTTCCAGTCATATTGTACACATTAAAAAAACTCCAAATAAGAAAAAAATAATGAGATTACGTAAACTTTATAACAATACTTTTAGTTTTTGAATGGTAGGTGGATTACCGAAAGATGAATGTGTTCTTTGCCTGCTGTTTTCTGAAATAAAGAAGAACATATGTAAACTACTGTATCCAGATTGAAATAAAAGGATTCTTCAAAGAAAGTGTGTAAATTTACAGGAAGGATATGGAGATAACGAACAGTATTCAATATCAAAGTCCATAGAACAATACAAAATAGGAATATATCAGATTCTCTTATGAACATGTTTTTATTAAAGACCCTCTAAACACATTTTACCGAGAAAAAAAATGACAAAGGTGAAAATAATTCAACTTTCAAAAAGTGAACCCTTCATTTCCATAATAAAAAAATGTTTAAAGAGAACAAAGTACTAAGAACAGAAATCGCTATTTCTTACAAAATTTACTATTCGTCTTTGTCCATTACTATTACAGGAGATCTTGCACTGATGACTAACTCTGTGTTACACTTTACTAACATAAAAAAAAAAACCAAAAAAAAAACCAAAAAAAAAAAACAAAAACAAAAACAAAACAAAACAAAAGTCAAAGGGAAAATTTCTCTTACTGCATGATAAGAATATTAAAGCTCAGAATATAACATGTATGTAAAAAAAAAAATTTTCAATTAATTGAATATTTTAAAGAATACAAAGGTTATCATATTGAACTAATATAGGGCTAGAGATGTAAGTCTGTTTTCCTTTGTGCGATACTGTGTTATGGATGGATGTTTTATTGATTTCAAGGTTATATGATTTCCTCTTGACCAAATATCAAACCCCAAACCTCATATTCACTAAGAAACAATGATGGTCTTACTTTTCTTATTCCTCAAACGAGGACCACATCATATACTGACACCCAAAAAGAAACGCAACACCCTACTTTAGGGGAAAATAATTATGTAAAGTAAAGAATGTTGTATCTTAAAATTATGGATATCTTCAATTTGGTAAACATCGGTAATTTAACGGTTGAACGATTTGCATACCATAACCGGAAGTCAAGTTTGAGTCTGCTTAACAGAAATCAAATATTGCATGTTTAACAAAACATTTGGCAATATTATGGAGTTTTAAGGGTTTTTACTGTTCATCATAAGTAATGCAGCAATATTTCAAAAAACAAACTCTCCCTCGTTTCCCGTAACGATGCTTAGGCTTCTTCAAAATGGCTTAAGTACGCATTTTCATTGCTCTAGCTGGAAAATTTCAATGTAAAGGTGATGGAGAGTTGCTGATGCAAAAATTCACTACATTACGCCTCAACAGGGTCTTATGTATCATATGCATTAAGGACAATCCTTGTACCGGAAGTCCAAAGGGGGTTACACTGCTCTAAGTTAGTGAAAATTAACCTAATCATCTGAAAAACGGGCATTTAAAAATTGATAAGAATAATTCCTTTGCTCAGATCTCGATATTGATGAACCTATTGTATCGTAGAAATTGAACTGCAATTGTTGTTTAGGGCAGTCTTGCACGTTTTACTAGAATGGCTGGGAGAGGGGTGTTTTAACTGGAATATGTTATTTAGTAAAGTAAAAAGTTAAACATTTAACATTTTTATCAAATCTCTGATGTTCTGAAAAGTGAGTTTAGCCTTACTGTATTCATTTCTGAAAATCATTAGATAAAAAAAAATCAAACATTTGTAAATTACTGCTTTTGCGTTTCAGTATATATATGAATAGTTATTTCCTATCTACAATTAAACTATGGAATAATTTACCATATCATATTAGAAATTTACCAACACTAATGCCATTAAAAAGACTCATTATAGAACACCCAATAAGCTTTTTAATCATGGTAATCGTAGTCAAAAATATTATTCATTGTCAGCTAAGAAATAATGCTAGTAGTTTAAATGGCGATTTACAGAAAGATTATATTAGTGATAGTTCAAAATGTGAAAAATGTGGTTTTCATACAGAAAATGCATATCATTTTTTCTTTGAATGTCCATGTTATGTTGAGCAAAGAAATACTCTTTTAAATTGTATATCAAGTATAGACCAGCAACATCCAGTATCCCTAAATCTTTTATTATTTGGTGATAGTAATATTTCTCATTCAAAAAATATGAAATTTGATTGTGTTCATACATATATATCACAAACCAAAACGTTTCATAAATGAAGTGAAACTTTGAAATGTTTATTCCAGTTCTTGCCTAAATCAAATACACATTCACTGTATGTTTATAAATTGCTGTAATTCTCATTTTTCGATTTTTTTCCTCTAATTTCCACATAAACCGGTGTTCTTTTTTTTTTCATTTTCTCTTATGTACTTTTTGTACTTTCTCCTGAATTCTATTCAGTTTTGTTGTGTTAGTTATATATAACTTATTGGTAATATATGAACCTGTTAGTATATGTGTATTAATTAACCTTGTACCTGAGGAGAGGGCTTATATAGGCTATCATGTTGCCCAATCCGTTTATGTAATTGCTACATAATAAAATATGTTCAAATCAAATTATCAAAGTGACCAGGGAGATGAAATAAAAGATTAACGATTAAAGCTGGTAGATAAGCGGCCTTATTTACCCTTAAAGCAAATTTAAACCAGATACATGAGTTAAGTTTTCGGGTAGGGACATACACTAACTTTCTAGCTTTTGAAAAAAGCCTCAATGCAATCTATGCTATGCCAGGTGTTTTTCTGAACGTTAAAGATAGTCCAATAGTAAAAAAAAATTATTGATTGATAACAGAAAAAATATAATACAAACAGAAGAAAATACACAACTCACCTTTAAATGACTATTTTCATTTCACCTTTTTATTACTCAGTGATACACAACTCACCTTTAAATGACTATTTTCATTTCACCTTTTTATTACTGTGATACACAACTCACCTTTAAATGACTATTTTCATTTCACCTTCTTTTTATTAATCAGTGCGAAATTTTATCACTATATAAAGTCTTCTTATAAGTACATAGAAGGAATCCTTGTTAGATGTTTATGTCGTGGCTATTATTATTTCTTTGTACAATTGAAGAATGAAGAATGTGAATGATAACTGACACAGATGCAAGAAGTATCGTACAGAGTGTTAAGATGGATCAAAAGTGTTTGTTGCAAATCGAAAGGATAAAGAGAAAAAGTAAAACTATTCACACAAATAACATATAGATAATGCAGATAGATGACTGACTGAAAAATATGTTTAGAGAGTACTGATGGTTTCTAGGATAGACCGTTTTAACATGAACACATAATGAATATATATACCTGTCCCAGATAAGAATTTTTAAACGGACGGAGGGGGGATGGTTACTGTAAACCCTCCCTCCCCCCCCAATATAACAGCTCTTTCAGATTACTTTGTTTATGGTGTAAAATATATCAGAAAAAATATATAATCCGAACATCTTTAATTTAATGAGAGTTTTTGTCCTACCTTGTTGCATGATGAGTAAGTTCCTATTTACAAAAATAGAGCCACATGAATTGAACTGATAACGCCCAAAGACGATTGTCCCTTATCAGTAAAACAAATTGGGTAGCCATATCTCAGTTGCGCATGCTCAGTGAAAAGGTAAATAGGACCAACACACTAGGCAACTAAAATATGACTGTTATCCATGTTTCCATCTGTTTTTGAAATGTTGTTTTATAAATGGACGTATCGAGAAATAAGGTCATTTCTAAGAGGAGTTACCTTTCGGATCAAATGCAATAGGTTCATGTATATAGTAAACTCATAACCGTTTATCAATGTAAAGTACTATTCAAATAGATACATGACAATTGACGAGCGCCATCAGTATAAATATGTCGTACAGACAGATTGCACGGCCCAGTCCGACGTTGCGCTAGACAAGTTTGAAAAAAAAACTATATACTAAAACTATCGACGACCTTTAAAATCCGTGATTTTTACAAAAATATGCAGTTCAAAAAATCTAAATCAAACTATTCTGTCTTGGATTTGCATGACGAATATTTTAGTATACAATACATGTATATGTAAGTAAATAAATAGGACCAATCACTCTGACAAAAACGTCATTGTCTACGAACTTTATGGACATCCCTCATATATCAGAGTTTTAAAGTACCGGTTTTAAGCTTTTATAATCTGAGCTGAGCACTTGTGTAGATGTGCATTATATGGCATCCTCTTTTTCGGCAAAAATTGGTCAAAGGTTTTCTACAGTTATTCAGCTGTTGCATTTTTTCAAAATCTTGAGAAAACGTAATAAATTCTTATCAAGGAAGAATGTCTCATCATGAAAGGGTTAACATATCTTTTATTGGATATTACTTTCAAACAAAGGTTTAAACATTGAAAGAAAATGACATGTATTAGATTTTTATTATAAAGTCAGGAGGATATTTTATTATTCAAAATTTTAAGATTTATCGATCTTAAATAAATCGTATAAAAATTTACTTGTGTTCTGGGAAAATAATATTTTTAAGCCCCCCAAAGATTATTATTATTAAAACATTTGATCGATATTGCAAACTTTATTCTCCTTCAAATCCCTTGAAAGTACAATAAACAACAACATACAATTTCGATGTTCAACGACACATAGCGGGACTATTAATTAGTACAAATACTCAGTATTTAGAAAATAAAAGAATTCATAAAGTTGGATGAAACGAATCTTATTCTAAATTATCATTAAAATTCTTTATCTAAAATTTAAGGAGAACAGGACCTTGAGCTGAAAAGATTCCTGTCAATGAATTTTTTTCGTATTTTTTATATTATTTATTTAATATGTACTTAACATTTTAAACCGGTCCTGTCATGAGATTTCTTGACTAATTTAAAAGATATCGCCTCACAAATATCGCCCTGTATAGTGTTTGTATGGAATTTCGATACTTCATGTTTACGGGTCAATTACGGAGTCCATAATGCGAATTTTTACGCACAAATAATAAATATGTTTGATAACACTATATACTCAAATATTTCAGAATATTCATAGTGTTTAGATTGTCTGAAAGCATTTGTTTTAATTTCACATAGTATTTGGGTGGGATAATTTCTTAATTTTTCAAGGCAGCTTCAACAAAAAAACCCCTCATTTTTGAAAAAATTTGTCAATAAATATTGCTAAATTTACGATTGGTCACCAGTCCTTCATCGTAATTATTAACTGTATAAATATCGCAGGGCGAAGCTTACCTCAATAACGCACAGGACATTGTTGAATTAAACGTAAGCATGATAAAAATGCTTCACATTTGCATTTTCCGAGTGCGGAAAATCAATTATGACGTCACACGAAAACATAAGCTCGCAAAATTATCAAATAGAATCTCTGCTACCAAACACGAAAAAATACTAATTTTAAAAATCTGCTTCAGAAATTTATCACGATACATTGATTGTGACCGGTTTATTATGAAATAAAATTGATCATGACGGGTGTAGCTAATGTGTACTTGATCTCGCTGCACTGAGAATTCAAACACTACGTCTATGACGTCACTGACGTCAGACTGCAAGGTAAAGAGAAACGGATGCGTGGATTTGTCAATTTCACAATATCTAAATATTGGCAAGATCTTTAAAAATTTTAAATATTTATTTTTAAAAATAAATGTTTAAAAAACAATTTTCAAATAAAATTACACAAAAACTGTTGATTTTAACAACGTTTAACATGATTGTATATCAGCATCGACTATGACGTAATATGTTTTTTGAGTCATGTGACATGTGCGCTGTCTCCCCTTAACCTTTTTTGTGGCGTCCTAAACTTGTATATAAACAACTTTTCACCGCTAACTAGAATTTAACCTTGCTAACGCGAAACCACTTCTCTAGAACCACGTCATAATAAACAGGTATTCGATTGAAAACCTTGTAATTGCGAACAGTACAACTTACAAGTGTTAGTTAAAATACAATTGTAATAATGTATACTAGTAGTAAATAAATTTTGGCAAATGGCATAAATGAATTAAAATAGCAAGACCATTTCCAGCTTAGTTTGGACTTTAAGAGTGTATTCGATTAAGACAACCCGTGCCGCACTAGTGTTAAATATGCGCATGCTCACTGATTGAACTCTAGTGATCTAAATAAAACATCTCGTTTCGTTTAGTGTTTGTATAAATATGGCGGGGAAAACAGTATATTCCCTGTATTTTTGGTCTTAACAGGACAAACAACTGATTAACAAACAATATCCAATTATCGAATAGAGAATAGCAGATAATTTAATACAAGACCTCAAAGCTGAATTGATTGTTCAACAAAATGTATTTTTTTTAACAGATATAACATGTGTTTTATAGATTATTTATCTTTGCAATATTATTTAACAAGTCAATACCTCCTCTTATTAAAATAAAAAAGTAGAATAAGAATGTCTTCACATACATACATGTCAATAGTATTAAATATAATCGTGACGTGCCATCGTGTTTGAAGGGGGGGGGGGGCAAACCAGAAAAAAACGAAACTCCTATTTAGTTGGAGGAAGGGGATGTAGGTCCCACTTCCGTCAGTACCAAGTTTTATTCATACAAGACGACTTGACCCTTGATTGGCTTTAATGTAACAAAAAGAGGGAGGAAGCTATCGGTGGTCTTTCAATGAAGATTGTTTTAAAAGGAAAGAGATGTTTGGAAAAAAAAAGTGTGGGGAGCTCTTCCACCATCTGCTACGTCCCTGTTTCCCCCCTTCCCGATAAAATTTTGCACGGGGTATAATAATTGGTCAGAAAAGTACCATAGCTGACTTTTTTCATTAATTTAGTGTTAGTCATAGGATGTGATAGACATATACTTTTACAAAAAATGTGACGTCGGTTGGGAAGAAAACTTGAGCTAATGTATTTTTCATGGTCTTACATGGCTGTGGATTTTAATTTTGAGTCTGTAAAAATAATGTTCAATATTTCAACTAAACGCATGAAAATGTTCAATAATTATTACGATAGTAATTAAAGGCTGAAAAGGTAATTTCTATATACTTATAACATTTATTGTAAACAAAGAACCAGTTGGTTCTAGGGACCCGACCTCCATATTTCTAAGATTTCATTGTAAAACATTCTATATCTTTTCAAGAAGAATAAAATCGCAGAATAAATTTTGGTCTTAGGTGTAAGTTCTTTTGTAAAACGGGCCCCTTGATTTCAAAATTGTCTAATAGATGCATATTGATTCACTAAAATTATTTTTATAGATTTAACAATCGCCGCATAGATATGTCGTGTTAATTACCTTATGAAGTTAAATCCTTATTATTAATAATTCAGTTATAAGATAATTACAGGATCAAATGTGAGAGCAATTTCAGTTAGTCCAGTCAAACTAACTCAAAAACACCCAAACTTCAAACAAATTGCAGCAGAAATGATTCCAGTGGAATTTTGTTATTTATAATAAGCCTTTTGATATATCAAAACTCTAGAAAAATATATTTGTCCAAACATCATTTTTTTTTCGATTATCAAAAAAACCCAATATTTGTTCAAAAATGCAAATAAATCTCCTTTTGAATAGACATTATATTTATGCATAAAAATAGTTTTGCCAGGAATATGATCTTGAAATTTTTTGACAGTCATGCAGGAATGCGTCTGCAAACTGAAACTGGTGATTATTTCATTAGTTGCTATGGATTCCTGTTCCCATGGCAACAGGAAAAATAAAAAATTAAACCTTTCCTATTCCTTAGTACGGCTTTGTGCAGGGACAAAAATATATAGCTATAGTAGGAATGAATAAGTATAGTATTAATTTGTTAGTGAGGACCAAAATTAATTTTTAAAAAGTTATAGGGGATAATGTAAGCACAGACATCCGATATTTTTTTTTTCAAAGAGGGGGGGGGGGGGCATCAAATCTCACAGATGTTAAGTCTCATATAATTTTTTGACAAGCAAAAATAAATAAACAAACAAGTAATAAGAATTTAAAATAAATAATAAATAAAAATAAATTTATTACAAGGGATATGCGATTTTATCGATATTCCCCGCGCAGTACTAGTATATCACATTTTTTTTTCTTTTTTTTTGGGGGGGGGGGGGTTAATATGTATTGTGACTCGGAGGCCCTAAGACCGGAATTTAGGTGCATATCACAAAGTCCAGAAATTATTTGCGATTTTATTCTTCTTCAAAAGAATTTAGAATGTTTTATGGTAACAATTTCCAAAACAGTTAATTTTCAAAAATTTATAATCAACATAAGTTTTTGGTTTTAGTCGTAAGTTCATTTGTAAAACGGGATCTTGAGGTTCAGGCAATAATTATAGGCAGATTTTAAAAAAAGCTGGATAAACTTCCTTATTTGAAAAAAAAATATTAAAAAAAAACTGTCAATGATAAAACAACAGTAATTTTAAGAGGTTGATCTAAAAAATAAAAAATAAAAAGGGGGTGTCAAAATTATATTGCAGACTTTTTTCATTGACGTTGTAAATTTCTTATACAAATACTGACATATTTATGCAGAAACAGTTTTCGCATTAACAATGCGACTTCACTTCCCGCCA